CTGATAGGCAATAGGAACGGAACTCCTTTCGCTCGAGGGCGGTCAACCCTCTCGCCGTCGTGGGACATGTCCGGGGGACTGAAATTATGCGATTATCGTGACATTAAGGCGAGAGAATGAGCCCACGCAAGCCGCTTAAATGCTATCAAAGCCGTATTGGTCGAGGGCTTCCGTCTGGGTCGAGCTCGTCGTGTTGCTTTCCCACTCCTCCGAATCCTGCCAGCTATCCGCCTGAACTGACAACACAATGCTCGATGACGACGGAGAAGTCGCTGAGCCAGACGAGGCGACGACAGGACACGCTAGTACCATCCTACTCAGCCGGGACTGAGACTCTCACTTCTGTACTTTGTGTGAAATAATTGCTAGGAATTTTCACGCGTATTTCCGCCTTCGCCTTCCGCCGGGTTGAAGGCAGTCCTGGGAGCGACTTCCTTGCCTGGGCACTAAAAATTTCACAGCAATTTTCAGCTCACCTGCGCGCAAAGTATTTCCACAGCTCGTTCCGTTCGTCGTTGCGATTTTAACAATTTTATTAAATTGAATTTATATCATTTACACGCTTGTCGACTTCAAGTCTGCAAGGACCGGTGGCATCCACCTGCCCCTCCACAGCCGTCGTTTAATTTCGCGCTTTCGTTTTATGTGGCATTTCTGCTGGATATACTCGCTTTATGTCGGGGAAGAGCAGATACTTTTTGTAGGCATGTCGAGGCTGGTAGCAATTTTTGCTTTCATGATTATTGATGCGGGTGAAATTTAATTGGTCGCCTTGTGTCTGCCCTCCTTTTTAGATAATATTTTTCCAGACTAACGAGTTGCAGTCGCTTGCCTGGCATATTAGACCACTTGAGCCAAACCGGGGCGTTGGGGATACTTCTGAGCTCCGGCTAATGCCAATTTGTTGGCCTAGGAACTTCAAGCAATTCTTTTGACCGCTTCCCCGCCTATTTTTTGCAAAGTATTTCTATCTAGAAACTTTAAAAGAGTTGCCACGCATGTCTGTGCCGAAAATTTGTTTAAATAAAAGAAAAACTTTTCTTATTTCGCGTAAAGCTCTCTCGAAAAAAAACGAGTGAGCAACAACAAACAAATAAGCAGCAAAGAAAACTTCGACGCCGATACAATTTCGTAAAATGTCGAAAACTGTGATTGCGTGGCAGGCGGCAGGGCTAACTCCCTCCTGCTCCTTTGGCATTCAGCTGCTTTCCTGCCCCGGCACGCCCTTCGAGGAACGCAAGCTGCTTGAGCGCCCAACTTTGAGGCAAATGTAAATACTTTTCCTGGCAAATATTATCACAATTCCACGCGGCTGCTGCCAGAGACACTAAATAAACTGTTGGCTTGGGTCGCAGCCGAAAAGTAAGCAGCAGGAACTATCCTGCAATTGCAATCAGAGAGGGAAGTGACGAGGGGCTGAGGGCTTGGAGCCTGGCGGAATTCATAACCTTGCAAAGTAGCACCAGGGAGCGGGGAAGTAGGTACATCATCGAGTAGTCGATAAGCTGTGCTGTCTATAAAGTCACAAATGGAGCCCTTATATCGGCCACTGACTACGTTGAATAAAGCCATCCCAATCCCATTTCCATGCGCAATTAGCTGGCGTAATGTGACGGACAAATTAGCCAAAATCCCCTCTCAACTTGCAACCGATCCATGTGCACACACCAGAGGCGCATAAAAATTCATGTCCTCGAATATTGCGCATACGCCGCGTTGCGCAGCTCTGCATGGCGATAAACTTCAAGTGCCCTGCAATGGACGACCACGACCACATGGCCATCGTTTGGACAGGCAATGACTAGAACATGGCTGTCCGCATCCGCATCCGCATCGATGGCCATTGAGAAGGGGTCACGGGTTCGGGGCTTCGGGTTTCTCAGATCCTGGGCTGTCAGAGGCAACGCTTTGCCATATTAATCTGGTTAATGATGAAACTGAATCAGCGTTTTAAACGAGCCACTGCACAATGAAGTGCTTGGTGCCGCTGCTGTGTCGCATAAATGGCCCAGCCTGCAAATAAATTAGCTGTGGCTTCCTCTCGCCTCTCGACCACTGGCCATAAAGTTGCCATTCTCGGCCATTTTTTCCGGGTGCAGTGTAACATCCGCTGTTGACTTGGATATAAGGCAACTTTATCTCGCCGAGTGGTTGAGTCTTCGGCTGCATATTTTATTGCATCGTTGAAGAATGAGAGACATAAGGCGAAACAAAAATTCCTGCATGCCGTCTCCACTTATTTGGCCTTTGACTTAGAAAGGTAATCTAGTCAGCCTTTAAAGTAATGCCGCTTAAAGTTATCCCACGCTTCATTGCTTCCTCATTGGCACGCAGTGTCCGAAAAATTGCCCAATTATTCAAACGAATTTCACGCATTTAATTGTGTAAATTTAGCCAGGCATGGCAGACTCCACCCTTCCTCCCACCAGGAGTCCAGGACCAGTCCCCAGGACCCCTACCACCCACCGGGTGGACCATGTCCGTGCAGTCCGAATGGGCTGATGTGCGTCGGCTAACGGTACGTAACGTCATAATCACCCCGAAGCGCACGTAATTGGCCAATCAATTGTGTCATTGTTCGCATTTATTACGCGGCCTTTCGGACTCTGAGTGTGTCTGGGGCTCGGCCCGCCGTGATTTATGTGGGAGGTGGTGGGGGGGGGGCCGAGGCTAGGGCCAGGGTGCAAGTGTTAGGCCTAGCAGAAGGAAAATTAAGAAAAGCGAAACTGCAGCAAACGAGATCCTGCAAAGGCAGTTTCTGTTTCGCCCTGTTGTGGTTTTGTTTTCGCTTCTTTTTCCCTGTTTTCAGCTGTAACTTTTTAACAAATGCACAAAACGAATGACAACTTCCGGTTCCGGTAGGGGAACCGTGGTGTTCGTTGGGATGGAGGAGTGCGGGTCTACGGCCGGCTGTCACTGCGAAAAATTACATGCCTTGCGCAAAAGTTTTGCCTCTTCATTATTCTAACATCAAGTCGACACGAGTTGCGGTTTTTGCAATTTTTCTTCAACTCCCGCACCACGTCGCCGCATTCTTCTCCCAGGAATTTGTGCACAGTCAGACAAAGTGTGAAGCGAGGCACAAAACTTCTTCTTGGGCTCCCGAAGGCGCACATGCTGCCAACTCGGAGACAGCGACTCAGACACCCAGTGAACAGGAACGACTCGTGGCCAGGGGAAGGCGGTGCGGAAATTATACGCTGCATTTTAATCACAATTCAAATCAACGGACTCATCGTCCTTATTCCGAACAGCAGGCGTCTCTGCTTGGCAATCCATTCAGGACTCCTCCCACGTACGTACGAATGTTCCACAGCGGAAGTGAGCGGGGTTGGGATGGGGTTAGCGACAGTTTTTCGGAGTCCTCCACTTGGTTCATCATTAACTCCCAGTAAGTTGCCAGGCGGTTAAAGTCGTTGGCATACATGTAGACCATGCTATCGTACAAAATCATAGTTGACTTGCAATAAATGGCCCTCAATTTGTGGAATTAATTTCGGTATAATTTATGAAGCTTTTCCGATTCATTTACAATTACCGATGTTGTTCAAACTTCATCGCGCGTAAACATTTTCAAAAGAAATTGAGCATACATTTGGCATTTTTTGTGTCGGTAATTTGGAAAAATATGGCCAATAGCTCTGAAATCACTGCCCAAAAAGTCTGGCTGAAACTGGTCGGCTATCAGTTATCAACTGCCCTGTTGGAGAACTTCATAGATCAAAGTGCCACATAACTGGCAGGAAGAGCACGCGCACCTTTGGCTCGATAGGAAAACTTTTGTACGACATTTTGTGGGTGATTTATTAATGTGTAAGCCAATGCAATTTGCCAGCCTTTGACAGATGGCGATAAGCGGCAAACAAGAGCACCAAAAACAGCAGAGAAAAAGGAAACTGTCAAAATGAGGCAAAATCAATGACAGTTGCCATTCGGAAAAGTTCGCCGGTCCAAAACCCGAGCCAGACGGAAAATTAAGTCGCCTCGATCGTATCGTATGCGGCAATTAGCATTTCGTGGCAATGTTGCAACAATAATTTAACAAGCCAGCAAAAGCTGTTCTGGAGAAAAATCGCAAAAACGCCGAGGTCCTCCAGCAAAGGATAGCAGAAGGCAAGGAAAAAAATTATTTGATTATCCTGCGGCCATGCGCTGTCACAATTTTGCAGACTTCCCGCCGAGCGTGTCGACCGAGTCCAGGCGGCTCCGTGTCCGCGTGTCCTGGTGTCCTGGTGTCCCGATGTCCTGGTGTCCTGCAGCAGCGCCATGAAAGTGCCACATCAGCGAAAGTCTGTTAACTTCCGGTTTATGGTTGCAGCAGCTTATGGAGTCATTTCCGCCTGCTCCTCCCGCTGCTCTTCAGTTCCCATTCATTCGGCTCAGCCAGCAGGACACGGGAGCCAGCTGGCGGTGCCCGCAGACCATTCTATTAAATCATCATTTCACTCCGTGCTCCAGCTCGAGCTCCTCTCCGCCCGCCGCGCTTCCTTCGGCGCACTGCGCTTGCGGTAATTTCTTTCTCCTTTTTTTCGGTTGCAAGTGCTTCCTTTAGATTTATAATTAAGATTTGGTTAGCAGCAAATAGCGGCTCTTTTTGAATTTATGCTGCCCTGTCGGGCAGGCAACTGCAGCTGCCCGTTAAGCGGTAATTTATCATATTTTTAGCGTCAGTCCCTAACAAATTATATGGGCAGCCGAGAGTAGGGAAAGACGTTGGGGTGGGACTGTGTCGGTTGGGTAAACTTCTGAACAATTCTGCAATTTAATTACGCCGAGGGCCTGGCCCGAGAGCCACCTGAGTGGATCTGCAGTTTCATTAGCGAGGCTAGGGCTCTTTCCCGATATTGAGGTTTTTACTGGAGCAGATCAAGATGTGGTGTTCCGCAAATGAAAAAATGATGATGTTTTAATTGGTTCATTAGCAGCAAACAGCTCAAGCAGCGTGATCTAAACGAAACCAATTGAATCCAGTCCGTTGAACATAGAAGTCAATATCGACAATGATGCTTGTCCGCAGTGCCCTCTTTTTTGAACTGATCCTCTGTTCAGTCTGCAGAATTCATGCGGGTCCCAAGGTGAGATCTGGCACACATTAGCAGTCGTAGCACAACTGACGTCGCCACAGTCCTTGAATTTTCTGCTCTTTAGGAAGATTGTCACTGGATACAACACCAAGTACATGTCGCTCTATGAGGCAACGGTCAGCCAGGACTTCACCACGGTCAACTTCACCTTAAACTTTGCGCGGGACATCTCAGCGGACATATGGCTGAAGTCCACGATTGGGCAGCGGGTGTCCAAAAGAGGAAACACCTACAGGGACGTCTTCACATACGACATCAATCTGTGCAGGGTAATGGGAAGGGGCAAGGGCAACAGTCTGATCGATTTCTGGATGAACAATGTCCTAAGAGAGTCAAATATTCCTCGTGGCTGCCCAATCAAGGAGGTACTGTGTGGTTTCCCATCGGGCTCATGAGGTTTACTTTAAACTCCCATTCCAGGGCAACTACTACATGCGCAACATTCGATCGGAAAAGGAGACCATTCCACGGTTCATTCGCTCGGGCAGCTTCCGGATAGACGCCTTTGTCTATGTGAGAGATTGGCACAACGCCAACTTGACAGACACCATATTCTACGTCGACATCAATATGAAGTGAATGGGTCGCTCTCCGAAAAGGGCTTACTGGAAGCCAGCGCAACTGGTCACATTAAAAAGCAATGAATCATTGAAGAGCTCAAATCTCCACTGGCTAACACAATTTCTCACTTCCAATCGAGTAAATCGTTGCACGTGCACTTCGCATAAATAAATTAATGAGTCCTCCAACGAGGACACGGATACGTCCACCGACACGGAAACAGATTTGAGCCCCGAACGTGGGCGTCCGCGCTGCAAGCTGCGATTTATACGAGTGCGCAATCTAAGCGCAAAATAATTTAAACACTGTCAATAATAGTTTGGGGACAAAGTATTTTTCCATCGACAAGTTTGCCTCCGCCCCCCTGGTCCCGCCCTCTGCGATTCGTCCTTGGTCCGGCTCCTCTCGACACGTTCGCACGCGCCCAAGGATTCCCCGGGTTTGCTTCGCCTTCGCCATCAATTGCACTTCCGCAGCTGGAGTGAGGGGCGGAGAGCAATTTCTTGTACTTTGTCGTAGCCCAGGGAAGAACCAACGGCAGGGCAGTGCAATCGGAGTTGCGGGCGCAGTCTTTGGAGCTTCTTTGAAACAAATGTGGGGGAAACCGGAGGGGCAAAGGGGAAGGAGTGGATAACTGGAGAAGTGGCGTCGTGTACTCAAGGAAATTGCCATCATTATACTTGTCGCAGTTGCCGTGCTTTGTGTTAAGTAACGTTTAATGTTTGTTTGCCGTGAAATTGATTTACAAAAGGGAATCGCACTGGCCTCCCAAAAGCCATCCGATGGGACTTATGAGCTTTGTCCTTACTCAGATGGGGTTTCAATAAATCAAATCATCTGCAAGCCATTCTTTGGCATTATTTCAAAGGCCTCCAATTACATGGCAGGATAGGCGTTTGAACTAATTAAGCAAAGCTTACCTGACTTTCGCTCGTCCTGAGGCCCACACTCATTAGTCATCAGACATGCCTGCCGGCGTTGTCAGGACCAGGAGTCGAGTGTGGGTGAGGAACGAACTGGGATGCGCTGTGGAGGGGCGCAATCATCACCACACAACCTGTAATTATACCAGCGGGATTCCGATCAAATTGGCTAGCATGAAGGCCTGGGGCAAATCGTCAGTGTGTAACAGCAAATTATGACCGGACCGTCAAGTCGAATGGACTGAGAAAGCAGAGGTTCGGAAGGCAGCAGGCGGCAATTAGGAAGCAATAAAGTTAAACGCTCACAACACGAAGTCACATGTTACGCAGACCGTTCGTTGAACGAAGTCTAATGTCTCCTTTTTCCCGTACGTTTTCCATTTTTTTCTGCTGCATGCGACATCTGCGATCCCAGTTTGACACTAAGGACAATAGAGCTAAATTGAATGCTCCAATGTCTTCTCCTTCTGCTGCATCGATAATCAACGCAAACGTAATGCCGTGCAACATGCTGGAGCCTTGTTCAGGATATTATTATTCCACGCCATAAAACTGCTGCTATCATCCGTTGCAGACGTTCCCCGAACAGTGTGAGAAAAGCAGCGGTAATGATTCGGTTATCGCTGCTTGAGTGCGGATGTTGTTAACATCATCATTGCATCAAGAACACATTCCAAAAAATATTGCAGTTTTTCAGATGTAATTAATATAGACTACTTTTAAAACAACGCTAGTTTTGGTATCAGAAAATTGAACTCTTTAAATTTAAGTTACACGATAAATATGCGAATCTTTTACTCTTAGACTGACTTTTCAGACCCGGTACTAAAGGAAAATTTGTGTTAACAAAACAACAGGTTATTCTGACTAAATAATTTAATTAAAAAAAAAATTATATTCACAAAATAGTTTTGAGAAATAGAAACTTGAAAAATGTGTAATTTGATTTTTAATTAAGTATGAAGTACTATATTTGGTTTTTGGTTTTCTCGCCTTGATCAGAATTAAATCAGTAATCACAAAACAGTTTTTACCAAAATTTTATTTTGCTAGCTTCAGTTAAGAAGAAATCGATTTCTTAAAAAGAGATATTTTGTGAGGAAAAACGATATTTCGACAATATTCGAATACTTCTTGCAATAAGAAAAACTTTTTTGGAAAGTTTCTAACGGGCTAATTGTATATTACCGTAGAAGGCAGTAACCGTATTGACTTTTTAGAGTATCAAGGGGAGACTACTAATAAATAACAGCAGAATTAAAAAGCTGCTGTAATGGTTTAAGATACCGATCGAAATATATAGGTTTAACAAAGGGAATTGATATTAAGGTTTTAAGAAAATCCACTGTCTTGGAAGAAAGTGCGGTGAGCCCGACGCTGTGGTTCATAGGTATCAAAAAAGCAAGGATTTTTGGTATTTTTAGGACTAAGGGCCCTGGAATAATTTTAGCTTTGGTAAACAGTCTGATATCTAAAACGTTTGTTTTGCGACTTTTTGAAAAGCCCGCTAGTTAGCATTTTCCCGCTAGATTTTCTTTCTAAGAGCGTAATGGTACATTTACGTTATGGTACATTTACGTGCTGCATATTGTTAAAAAGGAATTGACTTAATTTCGCGAAGTTAAATAATAAATTCGGCAATAAGAAATGTCAGTGTAGACGAATAGTTTGAATTATTAATTAAATTGTTGGTAGAACATTTGAGAAAATTTTTCGTCGCAAAATTCGATATCAGAATTGTACCGACTATTTTAGCTCGTTAATATGTGTTTTTGTTTGTTATACTTTATGTAAAATTGGTCGGTAGTGTTCCTTTACAGCGTTGAAAATAATAATTCCATATGCAAGGGTATACAACATTATTTCATCAATTTGCACATTTGAATAGATGATACCCGTTACATCATACACTATTGTCATGAAGCTAATTCTCTATTAAACTCAAAAAGAAATAAAATACAAGCTACTCCCTGCAATGTATATCGCTTCTGAAGCTATTGTAATATTTATATACTAAAAACATTACAATATATTCAGTAGCATTGCGTATATTTCTAGTTAGACAGGATCGCATCAATCGTCAAATTCAAAGCTTCTTCGAATGACTTAGTCCCGTATTTGCCATAGAAGAAGCTTACCTTTCCGCGATATTCACCAGGGATAAGAAACTTGTGGGTCATTGAACTCCCCATGCGCCAGTTGCGCAAGTAGTAGTGACCCACCTCTACAGGACAATTGTACATAAAGTTACTGTACTTGGTCATATCCTTGAACCAGGACTTGAACAGGCTGTTCTTCACACTCGACGTCACAGCGCACACGTCGTTCTTTTGGTTAAACATGGACTGAAAGTTCTTGGCGTTGGCCAGTCGCAGCTGAATGTCGAAGTGGGCCTTGAAGCCCCTCTGAATGGGTCTGTTCAGATCCATGTCCATATTCATCAAGTTTTCGACTATGGTCAGCGAAAAGTTTTTGAAGTATTTTGGACTGTAAGAGCAGCTGCCGGTGACGAACTCTACGCTGCGCTCCTGAAAGAGAACCAATCTGGAGATATTCCTACTCGGGTCCATGGAGGGACTTACCCCCACAACGAGATCGATTTGAAAAGCCAATTGAACGAAAACGATGCACGCAAGAAATTTGCACATTTTAATGCCCACGTTGAAACTCAAATGAAAGCCCTCGAAATCAATTACATGCTACGGTCACGAGCATGGAATAATTTTTTCCAAGCCATTAGCCAGCCGAATCAGCGCATCAGATATGTATGACAGCATCGGCCGTACAACTCATTATGAAGTCCTCGTCTTTGCCCTTGTACTTTCCAAAAAAGTTGTAGGTCTCCAATCGGTACGATCCACTAGTTATGAACGGCGGCACTAAGCCCTCTCCGAACTGCCAGCCCCGCAAGTAGTAGTGGCTCGCGTTCAGCGGACACTGGCGGAGGAAGTTGCCGTACTTGAGCAGGTTCTTGTACCACTTCTTGAAGAGGTTGGTCTTGGCCGCGTTAACAATGTTGCATACGTCGACATTGGTGGAGAAAAGGCTCTGGAAGCTTTTCGAGTTTCCCACGCGTGTCCGGAAGTCCAATCTGGCTCTCCAGCCTCTGAGCAGAGGCTTTCGCAGGTACATGTCCAAGAAGATCTGGTCGTTGCGGATAGTGAAGGTGAAGTTCTCAAAGTACTTTGGGTTGAACCGGCTCTCGCCGGCTATGAACTTGATGTTGCGATCCTAAGAAAAGCGAGCTAGATCTCTTGAGTTTTATTCATAGGTGTGCCCACCCAGTTTAGACCACTTACCGCCGTGACAGAGCAAAGACCTATTGCCAGAAACAAATGTATATCCACCCCAATTATCTTCAAGATCCCCATTGGCCCAGCCAACTCTGTTCGCAATAAGTAGAGAACTGCTCTAAAATTGTTTTATGTTCAAAAAATATATTAATTATTCAGTGCATTGGGGCCTGACTTCCCCATTATACACTTACACACTGTTTAACTGTCTGGCTGCTGACTGTAATCAATCATCACCATAACCCCTCAAAAATCTAGTTTAAAACGGCCTCTACACTACACTCTAGAAGCGGATGTTCCACCTTCTTCTTAAACCTGCCATAGAAGAACGATCCGCCGATACGGTAGTCGCCCAGGTAGAGGAAGGAGGGCACATAGTTCGCATCTAGGGTCCAGCCATGCAGGTAATAGTAGCCCCTACCAATTGGACAGCTTGTGGCAAAGTTTCCCACCTTCAACATGGACGTGAACCACCGTCGATAGATCGACTCCTGGGAGCCCTTGATCAGGGCGCAGTAGTTCATGTCGTGCTGGTAGACACTCTGATAGGGCTTACCCTTGGAGACACGGAACTCGAAGCTCAAGTGCGCCTTCAGCCCCTGCCGCAAGGTGGTAACCAAAATCATGTCCATCATCACTTTGGTTTTAATAATTTGGATACTGAAGTTGGAGAAAATCGATCTGTTGTATCTGCAGTCACCGGCCTTGAAGGTCATTCTGGGGGCCTAATGATCAGATTCTCAAAAGAGCCTTCCTGGATGGAACTCAATGTCTTACCACGCTTTGCTTGATGACAACAGCAACCACAATCAAGCCCAGAGCAACAGGTACACGTTTCACGGGAAACATCGCGGGATGATATCAACTCGACCATTGCCACTAACACCCTATGTTTGTACATTGCAATTAAAGCCATTTAATGGGATTGTTTTTCGGTCCAACTTGCGTGATAGATTGGATAATCGGTCAAGTATGAATGACATAATTATACACGCCCAAATACGGCTGAACCCGTAACTATTTGTTATGCATTGATGCCTCCACAATGCACTGGACAAGGAACAGCTGCTTCTTGGTGCGATACTTCCCGTAGTAAACGAAGGCCCTCAGGCGGTAGTCGCCACTCAGCAGATAGGAAGGCACCAGACCCATGTCGACGTGCCACGCCTTGAGGTAGTAGTGACCCGCCGGAACCGGGCAGTTCTCCATGAAGTTGCTGTTTTTGGTGACGCTCTTCACCCAGCGGCGGAAAAGCGAATCCTTCAGGGTCGAGAGCAGCTCGCAGTAGTCGGTGTCGCTCTGGACCAGGCTCTGGAAGTTCTTGGCGTTGCTGAGGCGCAGCTGGACATCCACGTGGCCGCGGAAGCCCGCCTTGAGGGCCTGGAGCAACTCTATATCCGCCGTGATCGTACTGTTCACTGCCGTGACGTTCAGCGTACTGAAGAACTTGGGATTCTTATCGCAGTGCACTCGACTCAGGCTCACCGAACTGGGCTGGCGGTGGCAGAGTGGATTAGATACCGGATAGGGTGTCCTGCACACCAATGCTTACCTCTGCCAGCGACACGAGTACACCGGCCAGGATAAGTGCTACCTTCAACATTGGTACTTCCGAATTCAAGTCTGATTGCAATGGCAGTCTGGTCCGAACGGTGCTCTTGTTTTTCGATTGCACGCAAATCGGATCCGCTAAGTGGTTTTAAATTACTCCGAAATGGCGCAGTGTGAAAAATCATATTTTTAGAATATGGTACTGGCTTTCGCTTTATTTATGAGATTGGAGCCACCTACGTGGCTGTTAGCAGAGCATAGACGTCCAGGTCCAGAAAAAAGTCCTCCTGCTTCGACTTGTGCTTGCCATAGAAAAAGTGAGCAGTCACACAATAATCCCCGGGAAGCAAATAATGCGGGACCAACTGCGAGTCCAGCTTCCAGTCATTTAGGAAGTAGTGGCCCGCGGGCACGGGGCAGTTGACCATAAAATTTCCGTGCTTCAGCATGCTATCGAACCAGTTCTTGAAGATGCTTGTCCTCACCGAGGAAATCACGCCACAGGTGTCCAGAATGTTGGCGAAAAGACGTTGGTATCTTCTGCCCTTATCGAGGCTTATCTGCATGTCGAGAAGGACCTTAAGGCCGCGGTGAATCGTCTTGGAGGTTACCATATCCATATACATGGTGTTGTTTCTAATTTCCAGAGTGAAATTCTCGAAATGTGCCCTACTGAATTTGGATCTTCCCGTCTGGAAAATTAATGATGACTTGGGCGCAAGAAGACCAGATTGATAAGGAAGAGGCCTTGGAAAGCTTTTAAAACAATTAATACTCACTGCATTTGTGGTCACCAATTGGTGAAATAAAAGCAGGGAGGCAAAAGTGAATACTTTCAACATTTCCATGCTGATGACGAGCGTATAATGATGTTAAAAATAAATTTTCATCCAGCCACCAATCAGACTAAACTAATTTTAATTGAGGGCTACATATAAAATTAAGGGAATCACTAATCTCTTACTTTAGGTCAATTTCAAAGGCACAGCTCACAACGAATTCTTTGATTCTTTCGTTATTCCTTAACTGGTTCATATCGAACTTTACTCGGTACTTGCCTGCATACAAAAACTTTGGAATGTAGAGGTTATTGTAGTTGTAGTTTTTCAAATAGTAAAAGTTTGGTTTCACCGGACAATACCTATTGAAATTGCTGGCTTCGAAGAACGTCGCAAACCATCTCTTGAATATATTGTTTCTCCTTTGTGCCAGCATATTACACATATCCAGAGTGTATTGGAAAATTTTCTGATACTTATTAGAGTTCTTCATGGCAATGAGGAACTCCATGTCCATTTTCACACCCGGAACCAGATCTCTTATCAAAAAAAAATCCATATTTAGCCGTGAATTTTTAAGCAGCACAGTGAAATTAGAAAAGTAGCTTCGACTAAAGTTTCCACATTGACATTCCAGCATTATGATTTTATTCATCTAAAAGCGTTTGAAAGTGTGAGTTAATAAATTCTTTTATAGTTCCACTAATATTTACTACGAAAGTGGGCATGAGCATTAAGTACACCACTATTACCAAAAAAACAAACAATTTCGTTGGCATTTTTAAAAATGGTCTCTCGTTGATTGCCGAATATTTACTAGGCCGAAGTCCCATAACATTGGCTTTTAAATGTTAGCTTTTTAACAGAAGCGTTTATTATGATTGACGCAAAAATTTTAAACGGTCGTTAAAGAACGTTTATTTTGCTTATTATTCTTAAAATATAAAACTGTTTTTTCAAAAAAAGAAAGAAAGGATGAAACTTTTTCCAAATCGAAGTTCATTTACCCTTGCAGCTATAACAAAAATGTAATATTCTATAAAACGACTTTATACCCTTGAAGCTATCAAAAAAATGTTTATTAATACGCGCAAATGTTTTTTATGTTGATTTTCCTATATTTGTATTTCTAAACTAAACTAATGCTATCTGCAATAGACGTATGATTTTTATAAAGCTAAAAATGTACTTCTATATGTTGAGTTTTAAGCGACTAAGCTATTTTTGTTCCATTTAGTTGTATTTTTAATGGTAGCAGCTGTGGTCTTTCGATTTTTAGAAAAAATGTATCAGAGTATTTGCGTGTATGTTAAAAAACAACAAAGTTATTTTTCAGCCCTTGCCTCATAAATATATCAAACTCAAGGAAAAGTTGTATTCCAAAAGACTAGTTTTTAGACTAGTTTGATGAAAAATATATTTATTCATCAGGGTCGGAAATTAATCGTTCACTGCGGCTCAGCCTTTTAAATTAAAAAATTACCTTCTCCAAAGGTATAAAAAGAGATCGATATCATTATTTTTCACGAAGTTCAAATTTTCAATTAAAAAGATCTGCAGTACTACATTATAAAACAATAATAACAAAAATTGTCGCATACTAACGATGTATTTTTTAGGAACTCAATTACCTGATATGATCAAATTTATGATTGTTGCCCATCAGTGCATGGTGGTTTGAATATTTAACGAGATCAAGTGAGCAATCTACCCATTAATAAAATTTCACAACTTGTTCGAAGCTTTACCTATTTAGGCAAGCCGAACTCAATTTTTAAGTAGTCTCGTGCAGCCAGCGGTTCAAAATGAGTTCACAAACACCATACCAAATTCTGATTTTACTGTGGTGGCTTTCTTTGCATCAAATGATGGCCATTGTGGGTAGGATCTTATTTAATAGAGAACCCACCGTAGAAATCAGTGGAAGTGCTGAGTCACAGATGCAAGCATGGTACGGTTTACGTCGATACAATTAACATATCGATAATTTAGAACCGTGTTTCTTGTGAGATAAGGACAAAAATGAAAATCCCAGTTGGTGTAAAGTTTCATATAGGTCTTGAGAGGGGACTAAGTCGCACCGGAACGTACAACACAACTTGTTTAAGCGGTGGTCTCTTAGTTTGGCCAAGCATGGACGGATGCCGAATCGCTGCCCTTGGCCAGTTGGTCAGTATAACATCAAGGATTGGCAGTTGGGTGATGATCTAATTCCGCAATTCGTTGTTCCTGGTCATTACAAGAGTAAAGTTATGACTTACCTCGGGAGCATTGGCTCGAAATCATTTGAACTTCTGATCGAGTGTGAAGTAACTTCGAAACTAATTTGATTGAAACAACTGAAATAAAGCCAACGCTGAATATAAAATTTAATTTCTGTCATTTTATTTCTGGCTTTAAAGCCTTCATCCCACTGGTTTGCCAAGGCTGCAAGCATATCCACAGTCTTATTCTCCGGCAGGCATTCAACAAGGCAGTCAGTCATTCGTGGCGCTCATCCTAAATGCAGTCAACGTGTCTATGTTTATCCAGCGTAGAGCCCAACCCAAGTCCCCAATGCCGCATTTATGTGCACGAACCACTGCAGAAAACAATTGCACGTAATTCTGCTTACGCCGTTGCATTGCAACAATGCACAGCGAAAAAACAGACAAAAACCAGCCTGCCTAGCCATTTGTTAGCGTTTTCGGTTTTCCGGATTTTTTCCCTTTTCGCCTTCCTGCGGTTGCGACAGTCTGACGGCCAGACGGAGTGACGGACCGACAGATGGATGTGGATGGGCAGCCCACCGGGGGGACGGTGGAGTTGTCAGACGTCGACCCATGCGCTTAATCAGAATCGGGTCTGTCGAAACTAAGGCGCCATTTGCCATTGTCCAACGATGTCTGGCCCGGGTCGTGCCTACTTCCTGGGTCCTGGTGTTGGCCAAATAAATGTCTTGCCTTCGCTCTTCGGTGCTCCTTTTGTTTTCTGTTTGTGCCTCGTTCTGCTTTCACTCCGTGACTGACTGCCTTTTCCCATTTCTGTCCGACTCCGCCTGCATATTGCATTTATTTACATAGGCCCGGCCTGACTTTTGATTTTAAGCTCTTTGGCTCTTCTAACTCAATTCCCTCCCGAGGCTTTTCCCTTGCAGCTGTCATGGCGCCAGGTACCAGTGTTTGTGTGTCGGCTGTGATTGTGGCTGTGTGTTGCCCTATGTATTTACGGATGCATTTACGTGCTCGGCCTCTTGCCTCTTGCTGTGCAAATAGGACACTTACCCATTCTGTAGGTCGCCAGGATGCAGACTCGGGCCCGTGACCATCACCACAGTCCCTATGTGTGACTTTTGTTCCTTGAGCTACCCGGATTATGTGGGCTGCCTAAAGAGAAGCTCGTTCTTTAATGCTTACAATATACTTGGCAGATTTACCCTAATGACATGATTTGGGTTCTTGCTCATTACTACTAGCCGTAACAGGAAAAGTGCTCTAAGGAAGAGACATCAGTATAAAACCGTTTAGACATAAATGTAATCAATGAGAAGTAAACATAATTAGTAAGATGCTTATCAATTTGATACTAAACTCGTAAAAGGCGGGCCAAAATTAAAGCTAAAATTGACTATTTTTAAAGCAAATATAGCCGACTTAAAATATATTATACCGCCCATTTTTATTCTTTGATTTGAGATATCCGTTTTAAACACAGTAGTGTCAAATCCACATTCGAATGGGGATCGTTTTTCTCGGTCAGTAATAGCTTATTTTTGATAAACCTTGGAAGTCAAAGAGACGTTATACTGTATAGATATAGATAGTAATAATACAAAAACATTTTCTACACTATTTATTGATAGACCTTAGGATTAGAAGTCAAATATATGTTATACTATATAGATATACTAATAATAACGTTCAAGAATAAATCATTGAATCCAAAAACTTACTAGCCTTCTAAAGTTGTATTTAAGCCGGACTAAAATGTGAATCCGGGTATATGATCTATCGGTTGCTATTATTCTTTGGTACAACCTGATTGCCTTCAGAAGGGGGTTCGACTCGTAAAAACTATAGAAAATGCCTCGTCAACGATTTTCAACCACATTGCTCTGATTTGGCCCGAGAACAAAGTCTCCTTCTTTCTTTCTGGCTCCTTACGGAGCGCTCTGCTGCCACTCCAATTGAAAACGGCAATCAAAAGTGCAACGGAGGAAGACAATTTTCACACTTGGCATGAAAGAAATATATTTTGCTTGGCAAATATGCTGACCTGACCCCTCAGAGCAAACAAGCTGCCAGTGCGGTGGCACTCGTGCGAGTAGAAGGAAAACGTCATCATAAATGCCCAGAAAGGACTTGGAAGACGGCAGGAACAGCAATCAGAGGCGCCTGGAAATATGCAATGCGAAAAATCAACACAGCACAACGACGAGAACGACCCCAATTACCCTCGTTTCGCAGTGTGAATGGGAAAAGGAGTGAGCAGCAGGAAAAATGCCTGCAAATGTACAGGCGTTGGCATGAAAATTTGTCACCTAGCAGAGCAAACACCTCCGAATGCAGTGTGTGAGGGTGGGCGTGGGTGTGGATGTGGGTTCTCGTGTAACTGAGCCTACAGATATGCAACCAGCGAGTATCCCAGTAATCGACACTTGGGCGCGGCAAACAGGACTCCGAGCCCGAACCCCTTCGCCTTCCCTGGCCGCGTTTGCGCCTACTGGCATGCAATTGTAGGGGCAAGAGTGCAGTGCCGGCCTGGAAATGTGCAATGCTGGGATTGGCCGACGCAGGCCGTGCTCATAAAGTTTTCAGGGGCGACTCGGATTGGTCAGGACGCGGTTAAGGGCAGCTCCCAGTGCGCATGGGCGGCGAGAGAGAGTGAAGCCGGCGTGCTCAGCAAATAGAAGGAGCGCCCCACAGTATGCAATGGTATTTTATTTTTATCCTGGCTCGTTGGTGGGCTGTGTGTGTGTGCGTGTGTGTGTCGGGCGATTAAAGCTCTGTGCGTGGTGAAAATGGACGGGGATTCACTCTCGAGTGGTGGTGGTTTTTACACTCAGTCTCTGTTACGTGTATGTGTGAACTAATTGCATTGGAATGTTTTTGTCTCGCCGCCTTCGTTATTGTTGTTGTTGTCACTGGATGTCTGTATTTGCATTCGGATTTTAAGCAGTTGACATTGATTTAAGCTGCAATTTGTATTATTGGGGCAGCGTGAATTCTTTGACTAATCGTTGAAAAACTAATCAGAAAATGTGCATACTTGAGGTACTTTTTGGGACTTCATCATATTAATTGTTTGTACAATTTATTTTGTATCTGTGTTGTTTTGGTTTTTATCATTGTTGCATTTAAATGCCATTAAATCAACTTCGCCTTCACTTTTCAACCCCAAGTAATACCCTTGGGAAAGCTTTTGTGGAGACTTCGCTATTTGTCTCTTTTCAACAGCCTGTTTCTCGTCTGACTTTTTCTATATGCCTCTTTCATGTTACTTGAGTCCCCAGAAAGGTCTACACAAAGAGGAGTAAATTCGCCGTGGTTTGAAGCTTTTATGCATTGCGAAAAAATCCAATTCATTTGCTCTAGCAAATCTACGAATTATCAATTTGCTCATGGGCACCAACAACATTTTATTTTTGGAAAGAACTCAAAAACTGTTTTGTCAAAG